GGCAATCTTTCTTCTTTACACAGTCTGCTTGATTCTTTGCTCCAGTCATTAGCTAATATCTGTAGCTTGCTTCTTGCCATCACATTTGGATGCTTGTTTACTCATTTCAGTCCTACACACACACACACACACACACGCCCACACACATAGCATAATCATCCATTTTTACCTGCTTTAATAACTGTTGTACAGATATTTCTATCCAAAGCTGCCAGTTGTAGATCACACCTAGCTGTGAATCCACCTCCAAGAAAATAAAGACAGTCAAGAGGATAAAGATTTCCTAGCCTGTACCAACTGTGTTTCTAACATGATAGCACCAGCAATATGAAAATAAAGGTCTTTCAAAGAAATGGCCAAATTCTTTCATACCAAAGCAGAAAAATATACAAAAAGCCTAATGTGCCCTTCTCCTAGAAAAGCAAAACAGTACATTTAATAATTAACACATCTTTAATGGTGCTGCCAATCTCAAATTACTGTTTACTTCACTGCAACATGTTAGAGCTGGTTAAGAAGAAAAACAGTTTGCTTCATGTGAAGGGGATGTTTAAATTGCTTAGTAAAGAACTGTTATGCATGTGCTTGTTTAGTATACAAAAAAGGGGATGCTGTGGATAATTCAGCAGTAATGCATACCTCTTTGCCATTCTGCTAAGTAATTTTAGAAAATGTGTGGAGCCTATTTTTCTTGTCATTTCATTGATTAATTGAACCCCTTTGATGGCTTTATCTTTACCAACATGTTTTTCATTCTTTATTGCCACTTAGTAATGTGTGCTCTTAATAAATAATAGCCTGTGTGGGAAGGGAAGGGTGTGTACACACACTAATGTTGGATTGGGGTGGTTCTTAGATTATGGCTCATGACATGCAGTCAGAAAGCTGAGTTACAAGGACTGCTGCTTGTCCTTCATGTGGGCAGGAATGTTTAGTAATGCAGCCTCTGGGATCCATTTCAAGCATGTGCTTGCTCTGCAAACTATTTTGACTTCTCTGGTTTTTATATTAGAACTCTCCATGTAATTAAAGATTGCTCCTCCTTATATGATTCCAGCTATCTCCTTCTTTTAGCGGGCAAAGACACAAGTGAAGAAAGGGCCTTAGAAATTAAGTGAAATGTTTCCTTTGTGAAAGAGAATTCATCTGGATCTGCATTTTCTTCTACCTTCAGGAAGGGTAAAAAGCACATCAGGATGGCTGGTGATTGGAGATTTTAAAAAGTCTTTTCAGGCTGCTGCATCTTGTCTTTCCAGTAACGCAGAGAGAGAATCTTTAAACTTTAAGCAAACCCCATCTTTTTCACTTCCACAAGTTGCATATGTAGAAACTGAGTAGAAAGTGGTTGACATTTTTTGAAGGACACTTATGAGAAGTATGGCATATTGTGAATCTTGCTGAAAAAAGTGTGCACTGAAATATTTTATGGATGGTTATAAGTAGTCTAAATCTTTCATCAAACCAGTTTGGTGGGAAGAAATTCTATGGTTCTTGAGGCAAAATAATCAAGTTAAATGCAGCTACAGGTTGTTTTTGGGAGTTCTGGCACTGCAATCCATACACTTTTCTAAATTCATGGCTAATGGTAATTTTTGGAGGCTAATGTACCTGCCAAAGTACAGAATACCATGAAAATTGTTTCCAATAGTAGTGTGCAAAACAAGGGAAACAGGGCATGTGCAAAAAAACAAAGAGAAAAAAAGAGGAGAAAAAAGTCTGAAATGCCAGTAAAGAACAACTATATGAATTAGGTCCAACATGTTTCAGAGAGACTCCTTTTTCAAGGGGACTAAAGAACAAACATAGAAGCATAAAAACATATACACTGTGATGGTTATTTTACAGCAAATAGGTCAAATGTTATAGAAATACTTGCTATCTGGTTACAAGTACTCAAAAACATTGTATTAAATATACCTTATTTCAAAAGCATTTCAAAACCTAACTTATATTGCTTGTTTTGATCTACAATGAAAGTGAAATATTGTAAAAGCACTTACTTGCTAATCAGTTACCATCACTTAACATGTTCGTTATGCAATATTTAATCAAAATTACACTTACATGGCTTGTTTTAATTATACAAATCTAAGAAGAAAGAATTCTTCGGTCTCAAAAGATACAACATTGTTTACACTGATTTTAAAAAATCTACATGCCAGAGGGTAGATGTTAAAGTCCTTGTTCAAAAAGCTGTAGGCCCCTCTTCTCAAAACAATACACATTCTTGTATATATGGCCATTTTCCTAATTTATCTAAAAATAAACCTCCCCAACTATCTAAGCAATTTTGCTTTTTACATAAATCCAACCCAAAAAGATACATAATCACATCCCCCACTTCCCACACCTCTGTCACTTCATCAGAGATGCTTTATCTTTCTGTTCAGTTGGATACACATTTCCTTCTCTTTGCAAAACCGGCAAAATTTGCAATTTGTTCATATCCTATTTTATAACAATTACATTTTTCTATCAGTTGAGCTAGTGATTTCAATGCAGAATGATCCGTCCAGTCTTCAAAGGTAAGCATTATGCTTGATCTTTACATATCTTTTCTGTCTTTATTATAGCAAAGCAATGTATTTTAATGTTTTTATAGTAGTTTTGATACCTTTAATACTTATAGCAAGTAAATGTTGCTGTGTTTGACCTTTTTGCTGTGTAATAAACACATTGTTTACTGTATGATTTCATGTTTGTTCTTATAATACCCTTGAAAAAAGCATTTATCCTTAAACATGTTGATTCTGATTAGTGAAGGTTTTTTCCACTGGCATTTTAGATATTTTTTTTCTCCACTGTTGCTGTTTTTGCTCAAATAATGTGATAACTTCTGTAGTTTCCATTTCTTGAAAAAAAAAATTATCCTCATTTCTTTTTTCAGTATCCAGCATGCTGCTTTAGTCATTTTGGAAAATTACTACAGAGACTTTGCTGTCTATAACCCTGTGTTGCTAACAGTTTCCAAAACACGTGCAATGAACCATCTGGCAGGCCTGAAGGTCTACAGTGTGGATGGTAGGTCAGGGGAGGGGCAATGGATGGGAATGTTTGGAAGCTGTACTGCTTCCTTAATCTTCTTCACTAGGTGTGAGCTGCCTCAGTGGCATAACTGATCCTAGAACTCACATACAGGGGCATGCACACTTGGGAAACTCTGCTTTTTATTGCTGGGTGGTAGAGGAAACATTCAATAAAAACTACGTCAGGTGAAATTCTCAGTTATGCCAGATTCCTTGACAAAAAGAAATCCTGATATAGGACACTGAGGCAGCAAAGAGATCTCTGCCAAATAAGAATTTCAAAATCAAGGAACATAAAAATAAATAATACAACACTATATTATAAAGTACAGAATTATGACATGGTTTCTCTATTCCCTATTAATTCAAAGAGAGCACTTGTACTTCCTGGCAGCTACCTTCAAGACTGATGCTGATCATGCATCAGTTAGGGTATGACCAGAAGAGGAGCTAAACCCATGAGCTCTCAGTGTCCTTCATTACTGAGTACCTTGTCAGCACCTTATGAACATACAGGTGAAGACCCACAACAGAATGACGCAGTGTACTTCCAGTTCCCAAGAGGCTCCAGTCTGCCTGTTAACCTCTTAGTGTTGTTTTGAGGTTCATAAGAAGACCACATCCAGGGAAGGAGAAGAGTTTTAAAAGCAGGAAAAGAAAGAATTTATTTGCCGCAGAGCCTCCTGATCCTCTGTTTCATCACACAATACTGTATGACTCAGGGATACCTAAGTACTTCCTGGCAATATGATGAAGAGAAGGGAATATATTAAAGGGAGAGGTTTAATAATAAATGTTTGTTTTAATATCATGGGATGAATCTGTCCTCCAGTCTTCATATCTAGAATACTATAAAACAAAGATAGACAATCTGGTACCCCCGCCATATGTTTTGAGTTTTAGTTTTCATCAGCATGGCCAATTGCAAAGGATTGTGCAAGAAAAAAGTACATAACATCAGGAAGATAACAGTACCTTACCCTTACTATAAGTTAATTAATTCACTCTAGAGATTAAGGGAAACTTGGTCAAGCTTGAACATAAAGTATTGGAGGCCCATAGCAAATAGGTAAGAAAAAGAAGCCATGAGCTTGCATTCATCCTTCCTCTTCCTCATTTTGATGTTTAGGATGCAGACAAGGGGCCTAGGAAAAATTTATTTTTTCTGACTTCTTTTCTGCAGGTATTAACTACCTGCGGATATATCTCCTTAGTAATTTTACCCATCTTCTATTTCCTATATACGCCTTTTTAAACTCTTAGCACAGTTGAAAGTTCCCTATAAATTCATAATAGTTTCCTAAGCAAATAAATTGTTTTCCTCAATGAAGAGGTTGGAATTCTGATATCTTATTTTGGAGAAGTGTCCATCCTTCCTAACACTGTCTTGGACCTGAAGATTTCTTTCCATGGGATCCTGCCTAGTACTTCTCTAAGCTTGTTGAAATTGGCTCTCCTGGAATCTGGTGTACACGTACAAGTATGCTTGAATTTCTCTTTCTATAACAACTTGAACAACTTGAAACCCCCACCCCCAAAGTTGATGTGGTCACTTCCTCTCAAGTTTCCTACTGCTTTCATCTCTTCTATCTTTCCTATGAGATATGGGATAGCTTATTCCCTTGTCTGTTCTTCTGTAAAATGAAACCGTCCATAAGACCACTGAGGAATTTGATGGACCTTGCAGTCTTGACTAAAGTGGCTTTCCAACGGATGTCTGGGTAGCTGAGGTCTCCCACTATTAATTTATTTATCTTCCCTGAAAGTCAAGGGTCTGTCAACTCCCCCAACTCCAACTATAAAATCTTTATTGGTTCCCCTTCCTTGTATTCATACCCAAATGCTCTTGACTGGACTCTTACATTCTACTCCTGAATTTTAACACGTGTGTACTTCCTTCACATATAATGCCACTCTTCCTCCCCTTGTATCTGTTCTATTCCTTTTGAATAGGTTACATTCTTCAATCCTTGGATTCTATTTGTAGTTTCATCCCACTAGGTTTCAGGAAAATCTATTAAATCACATTTGCCTTTCTATATTTTGTTTTTCTCTTTGTTTTTCCTGTTTATTTGTCATACCTAGTGCCTATAGTGGCACAAATCCTTGGCTCACAACTTGATCTATTCTTTCCTTTATTTATCTGTTCATTGTTGGGTGCTTTCATGTCCTCTGTATTCCAGTCCTATTTTCAATACTTGGTGTTGCATTATTTTCTGGGATCTATTTGCCCTTCCCCAAAGGGTTCAGTTTAAATTCTTCCAGATCATATTTTCAAGGCACTTTCCAAAAATATTATTTTAAATTCTCATAAAGCACAACTCATCTCTTGCTGGGTGCCCCTCATCTCAGAAATGCATCCCATTTTCAAGGAATCCAGACTGTTCCCACTGGTATCATCTGTTCACTTCCAATATTTTTGTTCTTCCTGGGCCTCATCCTTCAACAGATGTGTGTATAAAACACCACCTATGCCCCAGCTCTTCCACATTCTTGCCTAATGCTGCATAACCACTTCAGTGTCTTCAGGACTGTGTCACATGGATCAATAGAAAGGGTAATTGTCATTGGGTGTAAAGAGACTTGGGAGCCATTGCATTAGATCTCAAATGTGTGCCCCAAGAAGGCAGCACTCTTCTCTTGACAAACTATCCAGCCAACAAGGTGGTGTGGTCCCTCTTATTAGGGAGTCTCCTATCACCACCATCCATCTCTTCCTCCTCTTCAGGGCAGAGGCAGGAATCCTTCCCTTTGCAGAGTCCTCTTCCTCAGTGCCTGTGGCTTGTGGCAGGTGCTCTTTGTTCAGAGGTCAAGAAACAGGTTAGGCATGACAGACAACCATATTTGCCTTATTAACTCTAAAATGGGAAGGGGAAAGCAATGAGGATATCAAAGGAAGGAATATAAGTGAGAGGAGTTGTATCAGCATTCAGTCAGCTTCCCACTGCTTTTGATATCAGCTAACTGATGGAAACAAAATTTAGGTAATGGAGCATGAAAACTTCCAGTGCTATAGGAGGAAAACATTTTGTTTGGTCTATACATGGCCCACAGCTACTTTCCCCAATCCTATGTTGTTTGTGCCTTTGGAATCTCATCAGATATATCTTTTTCCTGTTATTGCTCATTGTGTGGCAAAATTATGTTCTATCTCATACTTTAGTCAGCAGCCTGAAAGTTATGGAAAGATTTTTCTCATGTGAAAGATGGGACTGAGATAATATTCAGATGGGAGATCACCAGGAAATCCCAGGGCTATAGATTGGACTGGGAAGTTGAAAAAAATCTCAGAAGAAAGTGCTGGCAAAAAACTACTATATTATTGCCAAGAAAAAACATGGATGTTGAGCTTCACTTATGGAAGACTTTGCTTTATCCAGAACTCTGCTTTAACACCCAACTTTCTTGTTCTTAGGATTTAGAGAGATTTACACACCATTCCCCCCTCCTCACCCCATTTGGGGAGAAAAAGTACTGTGGATTTTATCTAAGGAGCATTGGGTATTATTAAAGGACTTTAAAACACCATTAGGATATGTTAGAATGTGTGTGTCTTTTTTTTAAGGACAGAGGAAATTCCAGTGAAAAGTCAGAACCCAGTGTTAGAGTACATGCTTTGGATACAAGAGAACCTGCTTTAATTCCTGACATCTCAACTAAATATTAAGGAATTTTAAGTAGGAGAGCTGGGAGAGCTCATGGGGAGCTGGGTGACTTTAGGTGACATCAACAATATGAGCCCAAATGAAACAGGGATCAGACTCCATAGAAGGGTTCCACATGTTTTGTAGGGGTTGCTTTGATTGGCTTTGGGTTTGGTACAATCATCTTTTTTGGCAGTTGCCTATTAATGTTTAAACATTCTTCTCTTTTAGACCTTTATTTTATCTAGGCAGTGTTTTGTTTTTGTCTGTTGTGTCATGTCTCTAGATGTTTTTATTTTCTATCTCTTTTCCTTTAAATCTCTTCCTCAACCCCCTCCTCTTTTTGTTGTCTCCTTTCACACACATTCTTTCTTGTTGCTGAATTGCTATGTTCCAGCTGCCCTTCTGGCCAAATTGAAAGTGTATCTAGCAGATGGCAAGTAGGATCTTTGGTTTTGTGTGTGTGTGTGTGTGGTCTCAGTGTTATTTTAAGGAAGAATTTATAATTCTATGGAATCATTATTTTCTCTCTGTTCTTGTTTTATGTATAGAAAATCACATCTAGTCCCTTTTCCCTTTTTATCTAATTATATCAGAACCCATCACCCTGGAAATATTTATGGTAGAAGGGAGTTTCCTCCTCTTTTGAAATTACAGTCATATTGAATAGTATGTTGGGATACTGGAACTTTGGGGCATGTTGACTGGATCCTCCTCCATTTCTAACTCTTACTTTTCTTGTTCTGTTTTTCCATGAAGGGCTAGAAAACAATGTCACTGAGCAGTCCAGGGCCATGATTGCTGCTGCTGCTCACTGGAGAGATTCTGGTCATAATGAACTCTACATTGAAGAAGCTGACTATGAAAAAAGGGTTAGAAAACGTCGAGCAAGGTAAGAACTTTCTAGAGTCCAGTCCTCACACATCCTCAGGTGGCTTGCCTGTCTGCCTTCCTCTCACTCATTATTTTCCCCTACTAACTCAGTGACTTTCAATGTGTATCCATGGAGATCTTGTAGATACACCTATCTGAGAAGAGGCTTCTTTAAAGGGGAAAGTGCAAATTATCACCATGAAGCAATGAAAACCATTGTAGATTGAACAAAATAGTTCATACAGACTGACCTGGCAAATTCCTCTAGCCTTAAGCAAAAAGGAAAACTTCCATGTGCACATTTGACATTGATATTTGAGTTCAGCTCCAAAATGTAATCAGGCAAGAACAGGGACACTATATAGGGGAGACAGTTCCTAGTCATAGTGAAGATAACCGGGCAGTTGTTCCCCTCTCCATCCTTCATAGTATGAAGATTTTATTTCTTAATATTAAATGACACAACCCCAGAGACATGTAGGGGGAGGCCACTTTCTGGAAAAATTTTAGCATTTACATGTTCATGATTTGTACACAGTTCTATTTCAAACTTAGTCTTGTGTTGTTCAAAACCATAAAATCTTCTTCTACTTTAAACCTTTCTGATACTTGTATATAAGAAAATCACTGGTAAATATTACCAGTGTTATAAGATCTTCTCTGATAACAATCACCTTGTATCATCTGTCTGCAAAATACACCAGTCTACCAATAGATTCCCTCTATGCCATCTTTATAAATCTGAATGTGACACTTGATTCAATTCCTTATGAGGATTATGACCAAAATTGGCAGCCGCCTTTACTGATTAATGTTTTCTCCAATTAATAATAATGCTAGACAAAAGTATCACAATGTAGGCCAGATGTTAGAACAGCAGGGAATTGAGTGCACCTATTCCAGCCTCCAAGGAAGTCATATTGGGATGTATCTTGAATGTTGTTATCTGAAAATCCCCAAGCAGTGATGACTTCTTGCAGGGAATGACATAGTAAATGGTGGTCAGTTCTCTGAGTCATTATTTGGGGTGGAGGTTTTTTGGACCCTCCCACAATGCCAAACACTGCTTCAGCCCCAATTACTAATGTTATTAGGCCTTGAGACACAAAGAATATATAGCATGGGGAGAGCAATTGCTTACCCTGCTATGCTATTCCTAAAAATGTTAGCATATATGCAGTTGCCAGTACTTTCATTGTAAAATGCATGCATGTTCTTTATACCATTCACTCACAACATTTATTAGAGTACAGCTACCTTATAATAGCACAATAGCATCACGTGATCATCCATCAATTCAAAAAGGCCCAGGAAATGAAGTTCTGTAGTTGCTAAATTCAAAATGTTCCCCCAAAGGCTGGATATGGCCACATACAGTATATAGGATGCAGATTAATTTTTTTTGTCATAAAAAAATATTTACGTATTAATCACTTGCATATCCCCTGAGGGAAGGAAAATAAAAGAAATGAACAGTTATCCCTTTTTTTTAAAAAAAAAGGAAGGCATAAGGAGACAAGATTGATTTGATTGTAGTGTTGGCTTCAGCATTAGATACCAGGCAGGAGAACTGCAAGTTTTCCCCTCTGGGCTTTTTTCAAGCCAGTTTTCAATAACTCTAGTTAGATATCAGTGTAATCATATACTAGTGTTGAGAAGCATTTGAATGGAGGAGATCTGAGCTGCAACTATCTAGAAATTATCACTGAACTGAACTGAGGTCTTGGGCAATCACATGTTTGTTTATGTCTCCAAATGGAACTTCAGATCTGTGATATAAATGTGCAATATTATTATCAGCCCAAATCAATCCACTACAGGATGAAGGGTTCTTCACTGAAAGTTATGGACCATAATCTACCACATTGGTCCACTGTGATCTGATCTAGTCCAGGCTGATAGATAGATGTTTTTCAACTTTCCAGTCTAGGGCTGAAAGAAGGCTGACCCCAAATCAACCAGCCACCTTCTGTGTCTAAGGGAAGACTAGAATCTAGTTTTCTCTGCACCTAGCCCAGCACCTGTACCACTAACCCACACTGACTTTTGGGCTGAGTGGGAGGGACTGGCCCAAAGTCCCTCAGGGAGCTTCTTTGGCCAAGGTGGGAGTAGAACCTGGGTCTCCTCTCTCCTAGTCCAGCATCTTAACCACCGTACCACACTGGCTCTCATGTAAATATTCAATATATAGTAAGTAATTATTGTCTTCACTCCTTTAGTGGAATTATTATCATTATGCTTCTGAATCATACCCAGAAGCAAACTGGCATTTTATATTTGTTATTTATATTTACAGCGATGGAATTTATGTGTTCAATTTGTATTACAGCAGTTCACTACATATAGGAGCCAAGATGACTAAGAATAAGAAATGCAAGGTTTAAAAAAGTTAAATATAAGATTTTCCTACTGAAGATCAACCCCAGTTTGGGGCTTCTTTGTAATAGAAGTTGGCTGTTACAAACAAGATCCTCCAGTATTTGGGAGCAGGTCATGAAGCAAATCCCAGTTACAGACTGGGAATCTTTAGAACTGCTTTTTCTTCAAAATAAAATTGACAGCACACTTAACATAATGTAACATGTCCTTGCTAGCTGGAAGACCAAGATATAAAATATTAGATTGGATCAGGGTGTTATCACTGTAGGAGGACTTTTAACAGCAAATCATCAGGTCAAGAAGTAGATCCTTCTTAATCCAATTACTTTATTTGCAGAGGTGAAAGATCTAGATCTATATTTTAATCTGTATTGCAATGAGGAACTGTATTATGAAGCTACTTGTTTATTCAGCACCAACTATTCAGATGACTCATTGCAAAGAATGATAGGCCTCTCCATCATGCAATTCAGTGGTATGCTACCCTCTTCCTCTCCCAGTTTGCCTGCTTCAGCATGCTTGCAAACCTTTGCTTTGTTAGGAAGAATTCTGAATGTGTTTGCTCAGCTGCAAAAGCTCCTGCCCTGTCACTTAAGATTGCTGAACAGCCATTTGAGGAAACTAGCCTGGAGTACAAGGAGAAGGAACTTCTCTCTTCAGGTTGCCAGCAGAGATGGCAATAGGAACTGGTTTGATTTTTTTTCCCCACTTGCTGCTTTCAGTGATGGGAGAATATCCCTCTGGAGCTTTCTTTTTAGAGTCAGCGTGTCCTTGGTTAGTCCTTCAGATTCTTGCAGTGGATGATGTAAAGAGCCCCACATTGGGGCTCCCAAACTGTCTCACTTCACTGTTGCTTGACCATTTTCCTTTCTCATTCCTGCCAGGATCAGATCTGGCCATTTCAGCAAGTTTTCATATCTCACCATTTTGACAGGGATTTGCTCTCTTTTGCTGTTCCATCTCTTTGGAGGAACAGATTACAGTATGATCTTGTTCAACGTTAGCCAGCCATTAGGACTGTGCAATCTTCAAAATCATGTGGAAAAAGTGCTTCAGACCTTAGCATTAACCTCTTTCTCTCTCTTACACTGCTACTCCTATTCATCTTCTGCTTGAGGCTTGCTATCTGCATATGGAATTTATACTGGCCAGCTCTTCTAATGAACGGTTGAATGAAAATAATAGAATATAATGGTTGGAAGGGAACTTGGAGAGCATCTTGTCCAACTCCATGTCCAGTACAGGAATCCAGTATTGTGTCATCCCACATATATCATCCAGCCTCTATTTACTTAAGCTAAAAATACAGAGTAATGTTCCATTGTTGTATCTATGCACATAAGAAAACAAAATTTCAGAACCTCTTGATTTTTCATTTTAATGCATTTTAATATGCATTAAATGTTTTGCTGAGATTTACTTGCAAAGCAAATTAGTATATCCTGGACCAGTTCCAGAAATAATAATCAGTCCACCCAATTGTACTTTAAGGGACATTGGCAATTCATTATTTGTATTAAAATGTTGTGTATCATCTGTAGGTGAACAAGCATGTTACCATACTAAAGCTTATTATTTAGTCCATTTTCCTGGATGGGATAACTTTTCCATTTCTTTTTCTGTAGGCTTGTGATAGCAGTTGAGGAAGCTTTCACCCACATTAGGCGTATACAGATTGAAGAACAACAGAAAACTCCAGGGGAAGTGATGGACCCGCGAGAGGCTGCCCAGGCCATCTTCCCTTCCATAGCAAGAGTGCTGCAGAAGTACCTACGAACTACACGGCAACAGCACTACCATACCATGGAGAGCATCCTACAACATTTGGCTTTCTGTATTGCGAACAACATGACCCCAAAGGTATTTTATCAGAAGCACAATTTAGCTATACGTAGACATTCAGCTTGGCATTGTTGAATTGACAGAGTCAAGAGAATGATCCCATCCACACTGGCCCTGACCGGTCATTGCACTGCCTGTGCCAGTCCCAGCAGCCACCACATGTTAGAGGGCAATCATCCACAGCACAGCAACTGTTGCACTTTTGATTGGCATCCCCTTCCAGGGTATATAAAGTTGCAGAGCAGGCAACCGAAAGACGACAGAATAGTGGAGGAGTCAACACATTAGAGAGGATGACAGCTCCTGATTGAGTAGAAATTCTGTTCCCAGAAAATACAAGCTTTCATTTAATTTTAATTTTAAAAGCTCTTTGTTTATTATTGTAAGCACATGGGTGTTGCCTTGTGATATCTCAGAATCCATTGGGGAGGAACTAAGTAATTGCTTTGTTCATCTCTTAGCCATTTCCCAAAGCTGAAAGAATATGTAGATTAAAACAAAGACCATTTTTTCTTGTTTAATACATCATTTAATTCTGTTTTCATGTGTAGAACTCTTTGGGCATTTTAAATTTTTTTAATATGAATATATTTAATACCATTTGAAGCCAGGCAGACAAAATGGGGGAGTTGTAGAGGAATAGAAATCAAAGGTAATACATTACATTTACTCTAGAATTAATCAACATATTTTATTTGCAATCACCTGCCTCACTCCTTCCTACCCACCATCCCTTCTCATTCATCTAGAGACCCATAAGAAAGCTACAAAGGGTTAAAAACATGTGGATTGTGCTCCTTTGTATAAAGCTAAGTTTATTGGGCCTTTTTTATTGGCTTTCCCTGTGAAGTAGGAAAGTTGAGAGGCAATTTTACTTCATGGCATAAAACGGTGAATCTCCCTCCCCCCGAAAAAGCAGCATTCTTTTCCCAGTTGACCTTCTTACAAAGCAAGGGGTGAGTCCTGCTCTCTAACCTCTCAGTGGGATGACCCATATTTGTTTTCTTGTGTGTGAGCAAGGGAAAGAAAGCAGTGCTGCATTGTCAAATTAGATTAACTGAGGCCCTCAGCGAGCCTCTTTTCTCACCCCTCTGCCCATAATTCTCAGAAGGACTTCCCCCTGTACCTTGAAAGGGATTGATCATTTTACTATTTGTGGCTGGAACACAACTCAAAGGCAGTATGAGGGATTATTCTTTCCTGTCCTCATAGACTGTACAGTTGAGGTCACCTGCGGAAAGTTCATATGCAACCCAAACATGCAGGGAATTATTGGCAACCCTTGCTATTAGAGGATGAGATTAATCTCATAGAAGCTTTAAGCGCAAACAGGACAGTGCATTTCACACACTTTTTTTGCTGATGACTTCTGGTGACTCCTCCTTTTCTCATTACGCCTCTTCACCCTCCAGAAGGCTCTGCCTGTGGAATGAGCAGTTACATTCTCAGGTCTTGGTTTCCACAAGAAAGTAACTCACAGAACAGAAAATCATTCTTAGGATCCCCATGTTCTCTTTCTGGTTCTCACATTATTGTTCCATTTCATTTTGCTCACACATTTGCAGTTCAGTAGTCCAGTTACCAAGTATTTGCTAAGATCTTCTTCAGTGTTTCCATATGTTATGAATAGTTTATTAGCTCTGTTCTTTATACCAGCACCTGTAAATGATTTTGGCATCAAGCACCCTGGCAGTGATTCCTGGCCCCACCCCAGATTGTGCCTTGCCTAGAATATTAGTATTGAGCAAGCATCTGAAAGCAAAACCTGTCCTTCCAAGTATGTGCATCAAAGCACATTGCTTTCTGCCATACATCTTGGCCTTCCACTTGAGAGGCTTCTTACTAGTCAGTAAAGAATGCATTATAGTTAAGGAATGGTGGAATAAGGCATGCTGTTGGCCAGGTGGAGCTAAAATAACTCGTTTTTAATTGCTGAGTTATTCGTGGACCTGGACTATGTTTTTGTACTTCCCCTAAAATATGACATTTTTACTGTATTTGTTTAGGAAAAGTAGCACAGTAGCAGAGACATCCAACAGTGGAGCTGACTAAAATATTCATTTCTATAATCATCAAAATAAATTGGTAGAGTGAAGCCTTATTTTGGGCTGAGAGCTTTCTGGGTTGGCCCCAGTTCTCACTCTTCTCTTTGCCTGCTTTTCTTTAGGCTTTTCTGGAATGTTACCTCAGTCCAGGCCCAACCCTGCAGTATGACCAAGAACAGTGGTTCTTCAAAACCTGGACACTCATAAGTGAGGAAACCGCTACCAAAGGTTTAAGAGACGGTGTGGTGTTTATCCTTAAGGGCTTGGACTTCAGCCTTGTTGTTATGGTGAAGAGAATTCCCTTTATCAAACTCTCAGAGGAGTTCATAGACCCTAAATTTCACAAGTTTTCCTTTCACTTACAGCCTGAAACATCAGTTTAAGGGACCTTGTATGTTTGGGTAAGGAAATTAGTATTTCTGGCTTTATACGTTCAGTCTATGGATTTGGGGGTTTTTCCCCTTTTTTTCAGTTTATAATGCACACGGGATGGATCGCAAATATTTTAACCATGTGCACTTTATTGAAAAAGAAGGATAAGGGAGTTAGCTAAAAAAACACAGCAGTTCATGGATTGGCTTAATGGGTTCAACTGGGCATGAATAGCTGCCATTAGTTCTGCCATATTGCAAGCCAATATGATTATCTGTGGTCCCTGCCACATGGCCACACATTAACTAGCTCATCACCAGTACTCCTGCCTGTATTTTCTCTACATATAGTTTTCTGTAGAATCTCATTTCTTTGCACAGAATCACAAAAAACAATCATTTGCTATCTGCAATTTGAAATGCAAACTGTGCCTTGACAGTCCAGCTGCAGGAGGATTGCTTGGTTTAAAGCGGCTCATCTGCCTTCATGTTTTGTTTGCCAGCATTCAATTTCATAATTTAATCCCTCCTTCACTTTTTTGGTTGTGTTTTGTCAGTTCGGAGATTACAAGCTTACAGTTTTTGAAATGTCCTTGCTGTGGTTTTATAAAGATGTGAAAGAAATTTGCAACAATCTTACTGGTCTAGATCTGCTGTGGAAAGCATTGTGATCATTCTCGTATTTCAGCAGGTCTGTTTATGCATCTTGAAAGGAAATGGTTCTCCACCCATTTGTAGATTCATTCTTTCAGCATTTTCAGTATTGTAGTTGCTTTGAGCAATAAGTAATGGTCCATATCCAAAATATAAAGGAATACGTTTTTCATTTTTGTACTCAAATGTTTCTTTCGTACATGCCTGCCTATATGTATGTATCATACTACTTTTCCAATCCTTATAGGATTTATTTATTAATTTGAATTTTGTCCATTTCCACAAATGGATTTATGCCATTGCAGAATAGTCACGAAGTGAATCTTACAAATAGAAAAACGGTGTATATCTCCTTCATTTAAAATCAAAGGAGACTCTTCTTTATAAAGCTCTTATGCCTAGCAAGATAAATTCTCTTGAAAGTCTCTCAAACTCTGGGAGTATGATTTGGATTTGTTCATTATGAATCTGTTAAAAGTCCATGTGATACAAATCATCTGTTCCAGCAAATCATCCAAAATAGGCCATCATTTAACTGAAGCAAAGTGGCATAAATAGGAGGGATTGGTGGGAGAAGAAGATTAGAGACCTCTAGCCATTTTATCCAACTTGGCCTACAGGAATTGGATTTCAAAAAGTGAAAAATGTAAACAAAAAATGTTTTAATAACATTGGGGACCAAGTGGCACTGTGCCCATGGGTCTGCAAGTTTCAGTTGGCCTTGATAGTCAGCTGTATTTCCCTTAACACCTAAGGAGTGGACAGTTTTGTACTTTGAGCATGAACTAAATCTTTCCTGTTTCTTTTAAGTGTCTTCAAACTCTGGAGCAAATTAGGGACTGCCATTTATCTCTGCCTAATTTTGGCACATATACAAGAAAGTAGAAAAGAACAAGTTCCATCTCAGAGTTGTGTGGAGAACTCTGGAAAGGAGGGAGAGGGAACTCCACTTAGTACTCAGCAGTTGGGTGCAGATGGTCAGCAGGGAGAGCCAATGAGGGAGCGTGATCACTTGGCTGTGATCGCTTTTTTGTGGGCCAGTGTGAATTATTCTCTCTACTAGCCTCCAGGTTCTGCTGGCAGCTGCTCTTGGGTGGTAAAACTTAATCGATTTTATTAAAATTTAAGGGATTAAGAAAAATATCTAAATTTAATGTTCCTGTTAATAGGAAAGTAGTCCAACAAACATACTGCCACGTATGTCCCAGTCCAGATATGTCCAGCCTGTTACTGCTAACACTTTTGCCATACATTTGAAGGTTTAATTGTGTTCCACTAACTTCAACAGATGCAGTGATGAAATGCAACTAGGAAGAACAGATGTACACCTCAGGACAATGAAGCCTTTCTTAAGTTTTTAAGGAATTTAATTTGGAATGAAAGCTTATAAATAATATAGAGATCTACTGTTTGAACTTCATGCTATATGTATTTCTATGCATAATGTTTTTCCTTTTTAAGACAGAAGAGTCTTCTTCTGTGTCTGTGTCTAATATTCCCTTTCATTCTTCTATTGACACTCTGTAAAAAAGCTGAGTTGCATGAAGAACCGTACAACATTGGAAAGGTGTCCTAGGAAAGCTTCTCCTCTGAACTAATACTATTTTTCTATTCTATTCACTGCTTACAATTTAACAAAGCACATCAGTACTCAGTTTAACTAGGGGTTGGGATAAGATGGGTTGATGTATTTAGTGGGCAATGGTATTATCTCTTTCAATTTCATTTAATTTCCCTGATAGATTGGAAACCCCTTTTAAATGAAAGGAAGGGCTATCCAGTATGGTATTTTATTGTATATTTATTTTAATATACCAATTCCTATTGCTGCCTACCCATCAGACTCTAATCAACTTATAAATTGAAACTTTAAAACAACATAAAAGATATAACATTAAACTATTTCACTTGCTGTCACCAATCAAAAATATTTCTTTCCACATTCTTTCTGGAAGAAAACCATTTTTATCATTTTCCTAAAGGATAAGGAGAGTGGAGGCTAATCTGATGTCAGAGGACAAGTTGTTCCAGAATGAGGAGGCTGCTGTTAAGGTTATCTTCTGGCCCATCTCCCTTGATATCTCGAAGAGGATTACCTGCAGCATCCTCTTCCAGCTAGAGCGGACAACTTCTATCTGGATAATAAAGGCCCAAGCTGCAAAGAGCTTTATAGGTAATCACTAGCCATGCACCTTGACTTGGGTCCCAAAGCCTACTGACAGTCAGTGCGGCTCCTGCCAAATAGGTGTTATTCTGTTGAATTGGCTAGCACTGATCAGCAAGCAGGCAGGTGTTTTCTGTGCCAGCTGTAGTTTCTGAATTGTCTTCAAGGACAGTCCATGTAAATAAATTATAGAAATTAAACAGAACAACAAGAGGTGCCACCTCCATCCAAGTCTTGTTGCATGTCATGCACAAGAATAACCAATGTACTCTTTCATTTTCCAGGCAATAGTTTCTAGCATACCATACATAAAAAGCCTTATAAAGGCTTTTTGTTAATCACTCTTTAGCAGGTTTCACATTTTAAGAAAATTCAGTCTATACCACCAGTGTTCTGTGTTTCAGTCCTTGGCCTGGAAACAATTGAGTAGTAGGGGCAGTGAGAGGAACTGACTGGGGATGGTGGCCAGGGGGTTTTATATTGCTCAGAATGGCCATGTGGTTGAGTCAGCGATCGTTACAAAACATAAAAGATCCATCTCCATGTACACATCTGGGTGTGACCAGACTTATCTATTCTCTTAAAAAAAAAAAAAAAGCTGACACTAAGAATTTGCACTTTGAGAAAAACAATAATATAATATGGCTGCAGTATTTTGTATTTCTGGCACGCAGTAGTTTGCATGAATAAATGAAAGTGTACATTGCAGGGAGAATAGAATGGGGAACCTTTTTTTGGTTAACATTTTTTCTTGAAGCTGGAAATGTAAGCATACACACATATAGGATACAATTATCTACTTACCTGCTGGGTAGTTGCCTCTCGTTGTTTCCCCCTTTGCATATGTTTGTCATATAAAAGAGACATGTATAGGAAATCAGCCTGATGATGATTAATCATCAAAGTTAGGACTAGGATACAAATATATGCCTTTTGTTTTGTCTTGTCATGGTTCTGCAGTAAGGCCACATTTGCATATTTTGCATGAATAACCTTCGTGTGCCATGCCATGTAAGCCAAAGCAATGCTTTCTGTTTCTTCTTGGACACACTACAGTATTCTCACAGAACTTGGGGCAGCACTTACAGTACATGCAAGTTCCCACTTATACAGATGTACCTCTGTGCAACCAGCCCCTACTTGTTGCTGAAATTACTATCATGTATAATGGACTCCTCAGTTTTGATAATTTTATGTGTCGTTTTCACATGGGATACTGCAAGAATCTTTTTCTTTTATGGAATAGCTGTGTGTGTGTGTGTTCCATAAAATGATTATATACACTGTATATACTTGTGGATAAGCCCATCCACAGATAAGCCGACACTCAACTTTTTAACCAAAATACCATGAAAAATGTGCCACCCACAGATAAGTCAGTTGTGAAAATTAAAACAAAATTATGAAAATTTTGAGGGTCAGCATATAAACATCAGTACATTTTTAAAAGTATTACCATATATACTTGCAGATAAACCCATCGACTGATAAGCCGACCACAATTTTGGAAGTGTATTTTAGAACCTAAAATTCTCAGCTTATCCATGAGTACAGTATATACGGTATATCAATTATACTCCATCTAGTGACTGAATTATCACTAATATGCCACTGATAACATTCAAATCTGGTAGTTGATCCTAGGAAATGTTCAAATTACGGCAAGTTGTCAAGCACTAACAATAGTTACATGTGAAGGATTTTATGCTTTGAGCATATCCTAACTTCAAACAAGGGGTTTGGGGGGGTGACTAAATGTATTAGCTGCTCAGTACAGTCAAGAAGTCCTCTCTAGTTCCAGGACCTGATTGTTTGATTTTGCCCTGCCCTTTCTTTCTCATTAGATCAGTATTTGAAAAATGCACAATAAAGGTATGACCAACACAAAGGCAAGCTGGGAAGACAAGTTTACCTTAGCACCCAGATCTGAGTTCTCAGAGACCATTAACTCATATGGAAGCAAGTACTCTTTCACAAGGCCAGAACTCAAGACTGTTCAGGGCTTTAAACATCAAAAGCAGAGCCCTGAAGCACCTATCTAGATGCACTTCTCTGGGGAGCTCCAATGTAGTATATGTATGCCTATAATCCAGGAATAAGGATGGTGATAAATACACTGTAAAATGACTTTCTAAATGGCTGTCATAAACCACTCCATATACTGTAGTTTCCCTCAAGCTGGAGATTAGATAACTCAGGCTTTTCTAGGAAGAATTACAGTACAGTTGAACAGTTTGTGCTATGGCTGATGCAGCCTTGGATCATATACTTCCTTAGCTGAGAACGTGCTTATTTGGAGAAGAGATCCTTGTCCAAAACCAAATGAATCCCATACTGTTTTTTTCATCAACTTATACCAGCCATCAATAGCAACTTACCGTATTTTTCCGACTATAAGATGATACTTTTTTA